TAAATATATTAAAAATAAAAAATGACTAATATTTAAAAATTTATATGGTATTTAAATGGGTTGCCGTACCAATTGGGAAGATAACACAAAACTGAAGACCTTTTTGGTTTAACTGACAAGAGATTTTATTTTAAAAAATTAAAAAATTAAAAAAATTAAAATAAATATATTAAAAATAAAAAATGACTAATATTTAAAAATTTATATGGTATTTAAATGGGTTGCCGTACCAATTGGGAAGATAACAAAAACTGAAGACCTCTTTGGTTTAATTTGACGAGAGTTTTTATTTTTTTTTAATATTATTATAAGTGATAAATTTAAATTTTTATTGAAAAAAATTTTTTTAAGTTATTTTTAAAATTAAAAAAAAAAGTATGTGAAAATTAAAAAGTGAGTAAAAAAAAATTTATGAATTTAAATTTAAAATTTTTAAAATTTTATTATTTGAGATCTTTTTAAAATTAAAAAAATTTAAAAATATAAATTTTTAAAAAATATATTTAAATTTATAAAATATAAATATATAAAAAAAAGCTGAGTTCACCCAAACGGGCCCTTTGACTCTGAGGAGATCTCTGCTTCTGGATTCTGTAATCATGGCTCCTTTCTTAGCCACGCTCTAGCAATTTTTTTTCTCATTTTTTACATGCTGCAGCAGCTGCTGTCATTTTCATGCCGTCGCTCAGTTTCTTATTATATCCTTTTCATTCATGATCTCTTGGATTGATTCTATGAGCAGAACCCCACACTGGTAGGAGCAGAAGGCGAGTGCTTTGGAGAGAGATGCCGTTGTTTAACAGGAAAGGTCCCTCTGGGTTCTCAGGATCTTCCACGGCTGAGGAGGTCACTCAAGGGATTGATGGAACTGGACTCACTGCCATCGTCACAGGTCAATTCTCTCTCTCCATTTTTTTTTTTTATTTAGTGTAGAATGCTTCAATATGGTCTGATATGAATCATGGGTTGGAACTAGATGCGTTCTTGGCCATTTTCCATCAAGACTTTCCTTCCTCTTTTAACTAACTTGGATGGATATTTGCTCTTTCATTCTTCTCTGACTGTAGGAGCGTCTAGTGGCATTGGTGCGGAAACTGCTCGCGTTCTTGCAATGCGTTGTGTCCATGTAATCATGGGGGTCAGGAATATGTCTGCTGGTGGCGATGTAAAAGAAGCAATTGTTAAGGAAATTCCCTCTGCCAAAGTTGATGTCATGGAGTTGGACCTCAGCTCATTTGAATCAGTAAGGAAATTTGCATCAGAATACAATTCCTCGGGTCGTCCATTGAACCTCCTGATGTAAGAAATGGAACCTTTTCAACTTGTTGTCTCTAGGCTAGAGATGTGTTTATTATCATGCTCATGTTTCCCCACATTATTAAATTGATTACTTTTTGTTGTATTATACTAATTGTCCACTCTGCTGTCTGATCACCCTTTTATGCCTAAAAGATAATTGTGCATCATAAGATATTTCAAAGGCTTAAAGGTTCAAACAATTACTGAAGGAAGTGATTTTTTTCCTCTTTGTTGCCACTTGCCAGTAACAATGCAGGAATTTCGGGCA